ACCACATGGTGCAAATGCAGCCTTCAGCAGGTGGATGCTTTTAACAAGCAGGAGAAGCCTAACAAGATCATCAACTTGTTTCACTCTCTTTAGAGAACAGAGCCTTAGAAAGGGAAAAGGAGAGAGGCTAATAAAATGGATGGGCGTTTCTTCAAGCATGTGAAACATTGCCTGAGTGGGGACAGACACGTTCAAGAAGGAATTAAAAGGAAACCCACAATTTGGGCTCGGGAGGTTTTTCTGCCTATCTCTGGAATTCGGCCTCTGTGCAAGAGCGCGTCCCGAAGCTGTGCAAACGGACACGTCCAGCCTCGGGCCGGGCGCACATTCGCGGGGTCGCGGGCAGGCTTGGGCTTCTGGGCGTTGCGGCCCCTGGGGTGGGGGGGTCTGTGCATCGCCCGGACAGCGCAAGCACATCAACTAGCCTTAACCACCATGGACAGCTCACTGGCTTCCCCCAGCCGGCTCCGCGCGATTTGCAAACTCCATAGGAGCCACCAGCTAGGTAGATTTTTATGCCCTGGAGGGATGCCATGTGTTCCACCGCCCACGGTCTACACCCCCGCCCCCCGCCCCGCGATCGCCAACTGTAATCACTGAGCAGTTATACATAGAGCAGGCTCCGGGGATTAATAACCTCCTCCTTGCCCTCAATTCCGTCCTTTAAAGGTGCCACCGGATTCCAAGAATCGGAGAGAGTTGGCAGACAGAACTTGGTTCCACGTTCCTTCATGTCATCTCCTCTCCCGCGCCGCCCCTAACCCGGCCTTGGCTTTGCAGATCGTGTTAAATGAAATAAAACAGTTGGATCCCGGGGCTCCGGCAGCGCCGAGCTTTCCCGGCGCAGGGGAGGCGCGCTGGGGGAGGGCGAGTCCAGGCTCCCGGAGGAAGGGAGTCGCCCCTCCACACCCCGACGCGGCCCCGGACGTGGCCTGGCCAGGGAGGGGGTACGTCTGCCTCACCCTTCTCTCCCCGCATCCCCATCGGGAAATCAGCGTCACCGTCTGCCTAGGGCTTATCTCATGTTTGAGTCATAAATTGACCTGGAGGGAGAAGAGAGGGGAGGGAGAGCCCCACTCAGAGGAAGTTCGCGCGCGCCCTCCAACCCTGTCCTTGGGTGTCGCGGCTCCCGAAGCTTTCCCTCCCCGCAGCCAGATGCGGGGCTCTCCCAGGGGTAGGGGGGCTCGCAGGACAGGAGGCTCCAAGTATACTCGGGTTAGAAACCAAGCACTCAAGTCAGCGGGACAGGGCGGGGCAGAACGCAAAGGGCACACTAACATCGCTCCGGGCAAGAAGGATTCTGTGCGACAATCTGTAGTCCAGCTTCTTAAGGACAGAAGCCCGAGGAGAACCTAGGGAAAGTGGTAGCTAGACCCGCCGACCGGCTCCGAGGACCCTGAAGTTCCCATCGAGCCTAAGATCCCCGGGAGCCAAACCCGCCCCGTCCCTGCGGATCAGCTTTGAAATGGGAGACCCAAGTCTATCGCAGGCGGTGGAGATGAGGACGCTGGGTGGGAGATGGGAAGGGGAGGCTGAAAAAGATAATCCCGTTGCCCTAAGGCCTCTTCCAAGACCCTGCCCTAAGAGACTCAGGCCTCGCCTTGCTGCAGTGGGAGCGCAAAGACGAGGCCAGGAGACTCCTGAGAAGGAGAGCATAACCCTCAACGTTTGCTCTCCTGAAGTCTTATTTCTGACTTAAAAAAAAATACTGAAAAGGTAGGCCGGTCCGGAGACACCGTAATGTCCAGCTCAAAGCCAAATAGGACATCCAGTGTGGGTGTCTGGGTAGGTATCCTTCCTGCCCAAGACTTTAGTCATCTCAGTCCGGGTGCTGTCCTGGGGAGGGACTTCGAACTGGCCAGCGTGGCACGGGCAGAGAATGGTGTTGGGGAGGTAAAATGCGCCCGGGGACAGCGCCTTTTAGGCAACCCCGGCTCAAAATTTAAGAAAGGACCATTCGGTTCAAGTGGGGAGCTGGGCTGCCGCCAGGAGGGCTCTGTGGCACCACCGGAGATTGGCTTCAGGTTGAGAGGTTGTCGCTTGAGCCAGGTGGGGCTTGGAACTCTCTCTGTGGTCTCGCACAAGTCCAGAGCTGCCTATTTTCAGGAGTCAGAAATTTGGCCAGCCAAGGGCAGGCATCTGGCTGGCTGGCACTAGTCCAGGAGATCAGGACTCCGACACTGCACATTCATATTCTCATTTCTCTCTCTCTCTCTCCCCCTCTCTCTCTCCCTCTCTCTCTCTCTTTTCTCTTCTTTCTCTCTCTCCTCTCTCTCTTTCTCTCCCCCCCCCCACACACACACATCTCTGAAGAAGACTCTTCAGATATGTTTCGATTGTCATGAGTTTGTGAGGTGCTCAAGTACTTGACCTTGAAGAACAGGTCCTCCGGGATGCCCATTTCCTAGAGACCTTCTCTTCTCACATTGGTTTGGGCTCCTCCTGGGAAACTGCCTCTCCTCTGGGACTTCTACTCCAGTTTGGGGGGAAGCTGAACACTGCCCAAGAAGTAGGAAAGGGTGAGAAATGGTGTGAGGCCCACTTTTCCCATGGGAGGATCCCATCAGCCTGATGCATATCTACACGCTCCTTCCTGGGGCAGTTCCTCCAGATGGCCGCAGCCAGCCCAGTTCCTGGATCAGACAGCCCCTGTTTGAGTCTTACCCTCATCTAACTACAAAAAGATTTAATAAAGAAACACACCCTTTCCTATTGTTACTTGGGGTTTAAAGGCATTACATCTCTTTTTCTTTTTTGCTACCTTGAGGTCAGCTGGCAACAGCCTCCTCTCAAGTCCCGGTCCAGGCAAGTGATGGAATTCCACATTCTAATGGAATCAAATAACAACATTACTTGAGCTGATTATGCAACTTCTCTTTGTAAACATTGAAAAAGTTTGGAGATGAGAAGAGATGAGTTTAGTTGCTCGGCTTCAGGGGATTTTAGAGATATAGCTTGGAGCTACAGATTGGCAAATGTTAAATCTTGATGCTTAATGGTAATAAGAGCATTCCCAAGCTATAGATTTAAAAAGCTATAGATTCATATTTGGATTTTAATGTTTATCTGTTTGTTAAATGTTATCTAAATGTTAAATCTTGATGCTTATTGGTAATAAGAGCATTCCCAAGCAATAGTTTAAAGAGCTATACATTCATATGTGGTTTATAATATTTATCTGTTTGTTGTTTGGGCTAAGGAGGAAAGAAAAAAGAAGGATGAAAAAGCTAAGTGTACATGCTAGTTTATTTTTTTCTAAGCTATGATAGGAAATATCCCTGGAGAGACATATTACTGGGTATTCAACTGAATTTAAGAGTAATACATTAAACATTTTTTAAACCTCTTTTAAAATTGGATATACTGTAATAAACTGCCACTGGGGATGGGAAGATGGAAGCCTGGAGTTCATGGGCTAGGCATTTGTGTAGGTGTAGATCTTACATGCTAAACATGGAAATGCTTCAGATTAGAGGCAGGCCTTCCCATTTGCTAAGATGCACTTACAGGACAGCAAGGCCCAAGCAAACATTTAGCTTCTATTGGCAGTTTTTCTATTTCTAAGCCTTAGAAAAAAGGTGTGTGTGGCAGGAGGAGGGGTTAGAGGGTGCTCCCACAGTGTCTCATTTGCCGTCATGCAACCTCTACATTATGATGATGGAGATTACTCAGTTATGTTAGGAGCTAGATTATGATGTCAGAAAATATCCTTTCCAAAACAGGCAAAAAGTCAGGGTCCTTGGTATATATACTGAGGAGAATTTCTACTGAAAGTAATAAACGGAGCAGCTTGGAAGAGGTACCTGCCTGGAAGAGGTACCTGCTTTCTAATAACTGCCTTTAGTGGGAACAGAAGTCTCCTTACAAGAAGCTTTTAATTCATTTTAAGACTTAATTTTATGTTTTTTGAAGAACACCAAAAAAGTATTTCTGGAAAAGACTGCTGAGAAGATTTCCCTCTGTCAGCCAGAAAAGCAGAAAGAAGATTGTAAATCAAGGAAAAGGTGAAGTAATAAATAAGGAGGGAACTGGTCTTCTGAGTATATAAAGACTATTTATTTTTCCTCTGTCTATATTTTCTCTTTTTGTGGAGGAGAGGAAATTCTAAAAATATTTGATAGATGTTTTGCCATTAACACCAGAAAAGTGTGTGGGGGAAAAAGAAAGGAGGGAAGGAGTGGGGGGGGGTTAATTTTGTTTAGTTAGTAGAAAAACAATATAAATCAAAGCAGTCTCTGTATGCCAGTCCTTAATTTATAATGTTCTGAGAGTAAAATGTATTTATTTACAACATAAGTGATTGGATATTTTCAATCTGATTTTTGTTTTAACCTTCTATTGGGAGAAGGGTTGACTTTTTAAAGCCTGAGTAGTTTGAAACTTGGCTAGGTACCTTGGACTTTTTATTGTGGAAGCAAATATTATCATTTCAATGTTAAACAACTTGCAAATATTAAATGGCTCATTTGTGATTTACTTTTCTTTTCTTTTTTTTTTCTTTTTTTTTTTTTTTTT